ACGTCGAGCAACTCCTCTCGAAGTTCATGCCAAATCGCCTCAACTAAACCGCGCTGAGACATCCCGCCGGTTATAACTAGGCCGCTGTTCGCGAAAGTGTGGACGGCCCTATAATTATTGTGAAACGTGTTCGCAAGCGAGAGAGAACTTGGTCGTGCTCGCGCGCGGCGAGAACTTCCAAACGATATTGATGAGCCGCGGGAGGAGCCTGTTAACGCGATTGTTCAAGCAGTTCGAGACAAACAATGCCCATCGCAAGCAAGTGCGGGCAATGTCTTGATTCTATAACGCGCCCATTAAGTGAGCAGTTGTGCTACTTAGAGGCGCTTGCAATTAGTCAAATTGTGAGCCAAATAGTTAATATTGATGAATGTATCGGAATTGCACGATACTCAGTCGTTAGTTGTGTGATAATTTTTTTAAAAGTCGTATAAAATGCAGTAATATTCATAATACATAGATATATAGCAATTCTTATAAAAAAATTAAGTAGAAAATATTGAGAAAATTATGATAAATTATGATATATTTGAATTGAGTTTTGCGGAATAAAAAAATACAATTTTTAGAAACTTTTTCTCGCAAACATAATTGCAACGTGTAATATAATATTGTATTTAATCTGCATATTTTTATGCGTTTTTCATATGTTATTTTTACAGCCCAAGTATCGTCGTTATTTCGTCTTTTGCTGAATGCAAACATTTATGTAATTTTTATTTAAAAGAGGTGGAAGAGAAAACGTCAACATTCACAAAATGCAAGCAATCTGCGTAGGGAGGTGTATTTTCTTGATAAATAATCTTTAATTTCCGATTCTGCGAAGCTTCTATTTGCTAAATCATATTGAATATTAACTTGCGTTTGGAAGTGCGGATAAATTGTGGTTTACATAGCGACTTTATCACCCAGCGTAATTTAATATTGCAAAAGCGCGCTAAGATTAGTCTTTACGATCTGTACAGGTGAGCGATGTGTATTCTGGTATCGAGGCGAAAGTAAAGGTAAACGCATAATTCCGCCGTTTAACTTGCACGCGGAAGACGTGTAGTTGATTTACTATTACGACGCTTGCATAGAGGCAGCTCGTGGATCAAAGGAGATGGGGAAACTCTGGATCAAAGTTTTCGCGTTACAGAGGAATCCTCGAAATGCCACGCGAGGCCGAGCGGAATTATGCAATCATATCTAGACGAATATTTGACTTCTCCGGTACGGAGAATCTCATTTCTCTCGACTCCTGGCAAGTAATAGCGCGTCCTGTATACCGGTACGTGTAATTACGTATATCTGATTAAACATTATAATTAGTAGTCGCCCGAGACTCGTCGGAATCTCTGTCTGCAGCGGTGATAAACACGGCCATCGTCACCACATTGGTCGTCATAATTTGTGACTTAATGATATGATAATCGTGCAAGAGTACACGGCGTTACAGATTTCCCGCACATTTATAGACTCAGATATACGTGTCTATATCTGCACAGAGAAAGAGAGAGAGAGAGAGAGAGAGAGAGAGAGAGAATTTTATCCATTTAAAACTCAAATTTTTGTATATAATATTTGATATTATTTTAGTAATTAAGCGATTTTAATAATGATAATTAGAAATTAATAAGTCTTTTTTGTTAGACACTTGATTACATGATTAAATGGAACTGGGTTCTAAAATGTTAAATACATTCTGCAATCACGATACTCGCAAATTTTCTCTACAGTCCTAATTGTTTATCAAATTAAGTGATTCGATCGGCAATCTCGATATCTGATTCATTAGCTCGTAACGAAGTTATGTATAACAATTGCGCGTCGTCCCTAGTGACGACGTCCTGTTGTTTAATTACGATTTTGTGCCGGCAACTTTCCACATGCAACAACTCCAATTGCGCCGCAAGAAAGAAATGAATTCAAAGAGGAAGTTTCAATGTGCTATTCAACGTAGCTCGTAGCGAAGTTATGTTACGGTAGCACTAATTTCAAACGGGCGCGATGGTGCCGTTTATGTGTCGAAAACTTTTAATGTACAACGGTTCTAATTATTCTACAAGAATCGAAATGAATATAACCGAAATTTTAACGCAATTGAAATACCGTTTATAGCTCCGTAACAAAGTTATATTATGATTATTCACAACACCGATTATTTGCAAAATGCACATTTTCTTCACATCGAAATCTTATATTCTAGGATTCTAGATCATTTCTTTGTTTAAAATATAAGATTTCGATATATTGCAGTAAAGCTGTAGGTCTGTCAAATGATATGATATAAAATTCTAAAGCATAAAAATGAATATAAAATGTACATTAATGTTAAAATGTATGTATATTTTTATATATCTGTATTTACAGCTGTAAAACGTTATAACACATTAAAATTGTTTTATTGCGCTTTCCGCAAAGTAACGGCATGACTGTTTAATAACCGTCAATTTTACGATGCTTGCTGTCGATATGTTGACACAATTCGCCACGTTATTACGCACTTTCCGTTAATTGCAGGGTTGCAACATTCATTTTCGGCAAAGCAAAAATAGGACAGTACTAAAATTAATTGAATCATGACATATACATGTGCATGACATATATATATATATATGTACTTAAATTGTCAATTAAACAAAATATTTCCAAATTTTTTTGCGCGAGATATAAATTTTATATGACACTTATATATTTATTTATATTGTAATCACACAAATTTATAAATACGGGAACATAACATATATATTATTGATATGATGCGTTGAATTATCATCTATAATAATTTCTTCTATAATTATTATTATTAAACCATTACTTTTTTTGCAGAATATTATTTCTCTAATTAAAATAATCTCTGACCATTTTCTGTTTTCGAATTTGAGTCAACATAAATATCACAATATTGCTCTCGATAATTTCACTTTTGACCGATAGCGTACGAAGACGTGTACTGATAGCTGTAGCTGCTTCAAAAACTTCATTTATCCGTCAACGTCTGAAAGACGAGCAAATCGTGTTTGTTAGAGATGACGGATGCAAATTAGAGAACGTGGTCGAGGTCGAGGATAATATTTCCAAGGAAGGAAGCTTAATCACGAGTAGCTCTTTAATAATTGCTTTACTCGCGTAAACGTGAATTCCGTCGTGGAACGCAGTCGATATTCTTGCGCGATTTAATCTTTTCAGTACCGAACTTAATCATCATTTATTAACAAAATATTATCTGAATTTTTTATAAATCACTTATAGACAACTACGGAAAGTTCAGAAAACTTTTCAGAACTTTTAAATAAAGTTTTACGATCTGATTTGTAAATTAATAAAAATTGTATCTTTACATTATTTTCGCATAATTACATAATTATTTTATTGAAATAATTGTTGCAAAAATCACTTTTTGACTGCAATAATATAAAACATGGAAAATTCATAATAATCAGAGAGATTAATTTTTTTTTGTTACATGATGTCTTTTTTTATTTATAATGTTCTTTAAAAATATTTGATATTTATATATAATTAAAATCGTAGCTCGCGAAGTATGTAAGAATTAGGATAAAATGGCATATTTGTAAAACATTGTACACGCTTGCATATTATTATAAAAGAAGATAAGTTTATGAGTAGTCTCGGACAGTATGGCTTAATTCGTTAAGAGCATTCTTGTGTGCTGCATCTTCTTTCATAAATGTGTGTGTAACTAATGTTTCTGCGGGAAATCTGCTTTGTGTAATCCACATGTTGTTTAGTCATGCCAATTAATACGGCGGCGCCGTAGACAGTTTCCAGGCAGCATTCCTGGGAAAACTCGAAACACGTCGGTGCCGTACTCGTTTAACTCTGTAAACGGCCGCTTCGAAGTTGCCTGCTAACTGCGATTATAGTGATGCCAAGGGCAGATTACACGTTGGTTACGCGACACAATTTGTTGTTTTCGTGTCAAACGACTCGTAAGGGAGACACTTTACTTTCCGTTCCGCATTGTTCCGTCACAAAGCTGAAATGTAAATCGTCGCTTGTCTTTTAATTTGAAACGTACATTGTGTAAAATTGTGTCGAACCGAAAGAAGAACATGTGATCGATAGAATTTAGGCGGTGGAAGTTCAAGCGAAACAGCGAAGTCATGATTTTCTTATTCAGAGAACGATAGACTTTACAAAAGTATTTAATTAACAAGACTTAGCTTTATATTATAATATTTATAACAGTATTTTTACTTTAGCGAAGGAAACTGAAATGTCACATCGTATTAAAAATATCAATATAATGTCAAAACAGTTACGCAGAAAAGTTTATGAAAATTCAAAGAGACTTATGCCGCTTGTTACGCAGAAAACACGTTGACTGCTATCCTTTCACTATTCATTCCGTTCCCAGATAAAGCGAAAAGAGAGTAATGTCGCATTTTTATATTAACGTGGCGCCGAGATACGTCTATATAGTATAATAACCCATCACAATCAACGATTAAAACTTGAGCAGTAAAAATTACGACGTCTACTTTTGAGTCTTTTTAACAACATCTAGTTTGGCACAGTGAACTCCGATGTCACTGTCGTAAAATAAAACAGATTACGTGTTCCTTAGCGATTCCGTCAACTCATCGAAGCCATTTTGCAAGTGTAATTTCGTGAAAAATAAATTCTCCTTTGATGTTATCTCTGCATTATTGAAATTTCGAAGTTAATCGAAAGAGTAGTTTGCTTGCAGAAAGACGTAAACTCAATAACGTTATTTGAGAAGTTGAAAAGTTATATAAAAACAAAAAAAAGAGACATAAATTGAGATTATGTTCATATTTCATGGAAATTTGAACACTTTATTCTCAAGCATTTCCGCAGAATTAGGAAAAGAGGATATAAGCATTTTTTTTTGTAAAATTGCACCTTTTTAACATGTATCAAAATAAACATTTATAATTATATTCTAAATATGATGAAACACAGAGTTCTAAAAACAAACGTTATATTTTATGATTCTTATGATTAATGTGGCAATTTCACGTTCTGCGCAGAAGGAAGATGAACGAGATGGAGCAGATTCCTGAGGGCTGAATCCGCGTGGATCCTCGAGATGACCGATTGGAGAATGCAGCCGACCGTTTCGGTGCTCGGCGTCATCGCCATTATCTCCGTTATGATCACTCTTACTGCATCAGGTAAATAATTCAAAGTCAAATTTTTGTTTAATGTTATTCGTTTTACCACGCTTGCAATAGCGTTGCAATAAAGTTCAGTGTATATTTATTCAGTTTTATTCAGTTACGGAAATATTACTTTATTTTATATTTGACTAATTTTATATCTGGCTAATTTGATTATTATTATTGAAAAATATAAATAAAGATTTATTTACTTTTATTGTAATTAAAGCATTGATTGAATTATACTACTAATAAACAACATGATGATATATGGTTACGTAAAACTTGAATTACGTATCAATGAATCAATCTAAAAATCATGTAAAAGTTCGATACATGTTCATATAAAGCATACGAAGGTATTAAAAAAATTGGAGAAGTTCCAATATTTGAAATGCTGACGATGTTAAAATTCACAAATGCGTTTGAAAGTAGAAGTCAATTTCTGGGTTATAAATTCGTTAAACCCATTCGTTATCAACTCACTACGAATTAATGGAATGTAGCACGACTGAATACACTCGCGCAATGTAATACATTTTTACGAGCAAACGAACAATTCATCCGTCTCAGTTTATCGAGATGCGAGGATTTTTAATTAACTTGAATGCTTAACTGCGCCATAAGCGCCGAGTCGTAACAACGGAAACGACCGTGCCCAGCGGGATAAAGAGGGCGAAATTCTTTTGTAGCTACCGAGCCCGTTGTTCTGTACGACCTCGCGAAGATAACCCCGCCAGAATTTACTTTCTTGTGCTTCGTGGCAATCACCATTTCGTAAGCGAACGCCCTTTCACGCAATTCCACGCGTCCTATGAAATCTGATAGCACTAAACAGCGAGATTGCACAACATCGCCTAATATTTCCATTCGTTTTGTCGTAGATAAATTTTATCCTCACGCACACATGGTAATCTTAATTTTAAATAATTTGCTTTTATATGAAAAGGAATGAAGAGCAAGTTTAAATCGATTTAAATAGATAAAATTTTAATCCCTCGGCAAAAAGAGACAATTGACGGTGAAAAGCGGTGAAGATAGTTAATACATCCGCACATTTAATTTTCAGTTTTCAGATTACGAGAGATATAAATTTAAAATTTATGTAAAATATGAAATCCCAGAATATGAAAGAAATTTCTTCATCATTGCTAGCATTAAAATTAGCCAGGAGCTTTAATTTTTTTTAAGAGCATTATCTCGCGAAAACATTGCGTTTTTTGAATTACAATTTCTACTGTGTGGACAAGCTTTTAATTCAAGCCTTCGAAGACCGACGTCCATCTGGGATTGCATCTGTCGTGCCCGCAGGAATAATCCGTGGAATTTCCTTCTTCGCACGTCCCGTGAATTTGTCTATCACACGTGACACGCGTAAATCCTTGCTGACAAATTGCGGAGCATAGAGATAGGTGCGCGCATTACTTCGGCATGCCTAGTCGATCGCGGCGGGCTAAAAACGCGCTCGGCCCTGTACGTAGAAAAGCGAATTAGACATGAAATTTGCAGACGTAGGGAATGAAAAATGATACGTTACTTATGCATCGGTTACACGGACCGGATCGAAGGTCATCAATCACAAGGAACAAACACGAAGTGTATCTTCATTTTGCGGCGCGGTGTGCATCGTGCGCGGCTAATCGTCGAAATTTCACGCGAATCACTTGCACTACCGGAGCGATGGCGCTTTTAAGCCCCGACCGCCGATATCGTTCGGCGGCGATCAATCACTCGCACAATCGCTTGTATTCAGGGCGCGAAATTGAAGAAAAAGCTTCTCCCCGATCGGCAACAAAACCCGAGACGAGCGAACGCCTTATCTGTTATCACAGAATGTATTATTCGGAGCATGTTCGCGGAGATCGGACTGCCACGAATAATAATACGTATAATCTCGGGGCACGGCGAAGATTAATATGCCAATCGAATTTTGATAGTACCGTTGGAAGTTAATCGAACGAAGCCGAAATACGCTCGAGTCATAATAAATTGAAATTTAATTTTTACATTAATTCGTTCAATTTTCTTAAAAATGCCGTTTGATCGAAGATACAGAGCAAACAAATTGCGATAAAGTGATTTCACCGCAAATAAGAATCGCTCGGAGGCGTTCGCGATAATCTCTGTACACACATCTGCTGTTTTATAAATAATTTTTCGAAAATATTTTTTTAGAAATACAACTTGATTAAAAGCACGGAGAAAATAAATTGTGATATATTGATTCCACCGCAAGCAAGAATTGCACGAAAGAATCTTGCAATCTCCGGATTTTTCGCGAAAATCACTGCACACACGTCCGCCGTTTTATAAATCATTACGAACGTCGTTGGCGGCCAAAATTACACGGCGTTGCTCGACACGATCGATCGATCACTCGCGACGCAAAGCGCGCGCTAAATTGCTTCCGAACGACGAACGACGAACGAGCGTCACGTTGTCGTTGCTGTTGCTATTGCCATTACAGCCGGTGCTATCGGCGTGGCCGGCAATATCGACTCGCGTAAACAAGATCGCCGTCGCCAAATATCGCGGTGTATATCGGTTTGCTGACGTTTGCGTAGCTTCCGGACGATCGGTGAAATCAAAGGCTCTCGGAATTTTCACGGATCTATACGTAGTATTAAAAATTGACGATATAGGTGTAGCCGTCGTATTGAAAGGTATATTGAAGTTAAGTGTTTAAGTGAAGAATATTTTTAGATTAAAGTTACAAAAAATACGATAATTTTTATAATTCGAAAAACTATCTGTAAGCAAAAGTAACTAAATATTGTGCGCAAATTTCATCTACGAATTCTTCCAGCCAGTATAGAATCTTTTCTTCAACACGTCGTATTTGTTTAACATGTTTTTAACGTTAATTATGGTAAACTGATCAATGCTCTCCGAATTAACAACTTTTGCAAACAGTTAACGGAATTGGCCCAAACTATTAAAAGTAAGCTATGATCGAAAGGCTTAAATGATGAGGTAGAAAGATACGTGGCACGTTTCACAGTTTCTTACTTCTGGCGACTTGGTAATCTTCAATTTTCCGCCAGTTGTAAAAGTGATGAAGGAAGAAAGGCGGGGCCAGCGTAGTGTCTTGTGACAAAGTAGAAAATTGAAGAGCGACGCCCGAGGAGCTATATAAAAGTCTACAGCTATTCCAGATAATGGTAGAATAGAAAATACAGAGGGAGATAGCGTTTCTCTGATAAAAGTCGCGGCAGATAGCAATCTTATAATCCTCTCGTGTTTGGCGCAGTAGATGTAGCGCGAACGGGACGAGCGCGCTACATTCACGTAGCGATCGTTACTACTGCGAGAGTAATATCCACTTGCGTAAATAGAATTGCGACGTCTGCCAGATATCGTGCGACGCATCAGAACATCGACGAATATATACGTTTCGCGGCAAAATAGTGTTGTTGCACTCGACATGCAAAGCTGTTTTTCAATTTGCAATAAGTAACGGCTCGTAAAAATTCCATCTTCAAAAGATCACGAATGTATTTTCTGAAATAGATGCAGCTTTAATCTATAGAAACGAATACGTTGTTTAATACTTGACAAATAACAATTGCAACGATATAGTTTTCTCGCCGTATTTTCGTAAAATTTAGCTGTGAATTAGATTTGAAGAGGTTCATCGCTTTACATGGTCAAAATTGATCATTGGCTAAGCTTAATGTTTACACAGTTAAACGGTCTTTACAAATTGGATCTGTATTAATTAAACTTTTCGATTTAAAGTAAGAAAGGAACGGGTAATTAATCGAATAAACTTTTTATCACAGTGCAATTCTATAAAAGAACTGTCTACACGCATTTGTTAACGATAAGTACGGGTCTATAACTGCACAAAGAGAAATTTCTCGGGGCAAGTTGTACTAAGGTAAATTTCGCGGGGAAACTCGCCGAGCGAAGTTTCTACGAGAGCTGCTTATCGCGAGCTTTCACGGACTCCGATCGCGATCGACGTCACGCGGGAAAAGCGAAACCTTACACCAGAAACTTTGCCAACGGTTTTGCGAATAAAAGCGCGGTCGGCGGTGCGCGCGCTCGTGAAATGAAATTCCTGCGGAAGTGAACCTGCGGCATTTTGTTTCGCAAAAAATACGCGCCACACTATATTACAGACAAAAGAGTTACACACCGTTATTATTGCGTGATTCTCACATCGCGTGGAATGTTTCCAAATGAACAGGATGCTGCGTACAGATTGCTTTTGTCTTTCGCTGTCATTTGCAACGTTTTCCACATTGCGCGGACAGTTCATGTGAATTTAATTTTATTAAATTTTCGTTATATTAAAACAGAATTTATCGCAAAATATACAGATATAGAGTGAACGTGTGCTAACATTAAAGGAATATGATAATAAATCGAACGAAGTGCGCCGATTTCAGCAAAACTTGGAAGCGCGCAATTATATCAGTTTTAAAGCAAACTCGAACGTATTATCTTACCTTTTAACATTCTTAGATCTGAGATTTTGATTGGCCATTTATTGGCTCTCCTCCGAGAGCTCCCGAACCCATAAAACTCCCAGCCGCACTTCTTACGTCCGCATTTAAATCCTCACCCGGGCGGAGATCATCCTACCCCGTTCTAAGCCATAAATCCCGGCGAAGCGGGCGCTCCGCCTCGCCGGCATGTCGATTTACCCCCGACACGACCGACGACCTGTGTTCGCCCTTACATTTCCCGCCCACCGCGCGCATACATCCGCCCCGACTTAACTTACTTATCGTAACATGGCTGTTTGCTTTCCGCCGCAGAAGCGGAGAGCGGCGCCATCGAACGTGGCATCAATCATCTCGATGAGGAGGATCGGCGCATCGATGAGAGAGTCGCGAAGAATCACACCGTGGAAACCGCTGGCTGGTCTCGCGGCAACGACACGGCGGCTCTCGAGGAAATCACTCCCGCCTTCGCGACTGAGTACACAAGCTCGACGAAGGATTCGTCCTCCGCGCTCGTTATTGCGGCGGTGGAAGCTCATTCCGAGAACGCGTCGAGGAAATACGTGGACGATCAGGCGATATTCGCTTCGAAGAAGATCGAGGAGTCGGAGCAGGCGGAGGAGGCGATGCTGGAGCACGAAGACGCTCGAACGGCTGCGAACGAGTCCGCAATAGAGAAGCCGCGGGACGACTGGCCGACAGTGATGTCGGTGGAGAAAGTGGAAGACGTGACGGAGGCGAGATACAGCGATCAGAGGAACGTGGAGGATATCAAGGCGATTTCGTTCCAAGTTCCGCCGCCGCCGCCGGACGAAAGGGAAGAGGACTATCAGGACAGCCGGCAGCAGGGGTGGACCGGCGTCGGTCGGACGAACGAAACGAGGAAGCTGGGCGAGGGCAAGAAGGATCAGTCGAGACCGACGAACAATCTGCTGACCGGCAAGTCGACGAAGGCCTTCTACGAGATAAAACCGTCGATCCGAACGCTCGAGACGGAACGCGGTCGCGAACATCAGCTCCAGGCGACCACTCACCGAACGCTGGCCGGCAGGAAGTTCGTCCTGCCCAGCGTGGACAGCGCCTTCGGGAAATTCGGTCCGTACTTCGAGGACGGCGATCGGGAGACGAACGTGAGCGCGAGGATCGGCAGCGTCGTTTTGCTGGACTGCAAAATCGGCATGCTGGGCAATAGACAGGTGAGTCGCGCTCCGTCTGTCTGTTAGTCTCGTTAGCCTCGGCGGTTGCGAGGCGAGATGTGAGAGGAATGTTGGATAATGGCGAAATGGAAACTCGAATCTTGTTATAACTTTACGATCGGCGACATTGCGCGACAAACGGGCGAATTGTAATGAAAGGGGAGATTGGATTTTCGAGTCGGATACTTTCGTTTCGACGAACCGACGCGCGATAAACCAGGAGAAGATTGTGTAACGAGAACGATGAATAGCATTGATGAAGAATCGTAACTGTGCTTTATTGTTCTGTTGATTCGTATTGATATAATCTTTTGTAAGAGCGTTTTATGAAGAAAAAGAATTCGAATCTTTATCATATTTTGCTCAATTTTTTTCCTTTTTTGTCAAATTTAAGCGTAACTAAAATTTAGATAAAATCGGAATCGATCTTTGAATCGACGCGAGCTATACGCGAGCTTTTCAATCAGAAAAACTGCATATTTCTCTTTGTCAAATCACGTGAATCGGAAGGAAAGTGTGATAAAAAATCCGACGGGAGAAGGATTGAATCGCGGATGAGAAAAGGCGTGGATTATCATTGCAAACATCGTTTGTTAGTGTCTGTTGCGTATACACTCTCGTCCGTCTTGTCGCTGCGAAAGTTTTCGCATTTCAATCAGTGCCGCCTCTCGGTATCTCCTGTCCCTTTCGGCAGTGATTTCTAGATCCATTTACTCTTCTTCGTCAGGCGACACGAAGTTCCGAGCCGCCTGAGACACAGGCGCTCGGGATTCTCATGGGATTCATATTCCGCGGAATACGTAATGCGAAACCGATTGCGGTGGGACGAGCGTGCCAAGGAACGAAAACGAGTACTTCTGATTCGACGTGTGCACGTATGGATGTCGTACGTGTATAGACAGGCGCCGTATGCATGTGCGCGCCGCGCACTCCGAGAATAGCAAACAACTCGAAGGGAACTTAATTATGAAACATCGCCCGTGCCGTTTGCCAAGTCGTTCTCTTTCCGTAAAATGGCTGCTTAAGATGTCGAAGAGAACGTTTATTCGAGGAAATATTTGTCCGCGCTAAATATTTACTTGCGATCGCGATTTTTTCAAGTGCTATGGTTTCTGTATAATGCCGGCATTACCTAGTTACCCGAAGCGCGCTTAGTGGCAAAATGGAAACTAGAATCTTGTTCTAACTTCACGATCATCGGTGCGACAAACGGGTGAATTGTAATAAGAAAAGAGATTGGATTTTCGAGTCAGATGACTTTGCTTCGTAAACGTATCACGTGTCCGCAAATATATTAAACAATATTACTTGGATTTGAAAATGTCTTTTCTCAAAAAAAATGAAGTAAAAAATAAAATTCCAGATGTTCCGATATAAATATTCTAGACTCAAATTAGAAATTTAATATCTTTTCTAAGAGTTAATATCTTGATGGAAGAAGAAATGGGATTAAGAATTATAAAAATCTCACGATATTAAATTTTATGAAACAGAAAAAAATAGTTATTTATATTCAAATGTTATCTATTTAATTAAAAATATAGCGATAAATTTTTCTGTTGTAAAATATTGTGACGGATATTAAATGTTTTGCACTTTTAATATTCGAAACCAGATCTGGTTGTGGTTTTATGAAACTTTTTGTATGTTCCTTTCTTCGCGTGTCACGCCATCTTCTCTTAAATGAAACTTGAATCCTCGTTAATTCCATCATATTAAGAACTACTGAAGCGGCTCTTCCTGAACTCGGCGACTTCCATCGAGATAACTTTTCCGGCGAGGGACAAATTTAATTCGGGCGACACGCAACGTAAGGGACTTGTTCAGAAATTATTTGCTCGCCTCCTTCAACAAGAAGTTCTTCGTAACATAATTCGGCGTGTCTACGATCTCCGGGACGATTAATGTTTCTGTCGTGAACGTTAAGTTTTCGCGAGACAGACTTTTATCCGCGATGACAAACGGTGATAATTCGCCCCCAGATATCCGGTTATTGCGATGGTTGGCACGTATGATATGAGGTCAAATCTCGGGAGAGAGCTTTGTACAAAAAGAGAACAGTGAGAATGTCGCTATGAATAGCGTAAAGGCTTGTTTACGCTGCGTAATTTTAAACTTTGCCACTGTCGTGAATATATAAGCATTTAAAAAATTTATTCAAAAATCCTTATTTCTCTCTACATTGTAATATTGTTTTTAAACATTTCTTTTTATCGATAATAACGAGTATACTAAACATTCAATAATAATAAAAGACGGCTAAAGCTTTATAAAAGATTCTACACGAAAATAAAAATATTAATAAATTAATCATTATATTTATACAAATAGTTTTAAGTGTTCAAGATGGCTAGATTTTCACACATCTTTCTTATAAAGAAACTAACCGTTTACATTAATAATACATTGCTATACTTTATTTAACTTTTATATTATGCAATATCCGTATCGTATAAACAAGACTTAAATCGACATTTTTTCGGGCGCATACGAAGAAGCTCCGCGGAAATTGTCTGCTGCATTCATTGCGGCTATACACGAAGCTTTAACGGAAATTGTACTCGCTTCTGTGCTGGAGATCTAAGAGCAGAGAGAATTATAAATTTCCAGTGCTATCTCTTGAGAAATCGTCCTGCCATCTACTTGTTGCGGCGACCATAATAATCGCCCAAAGGAGTTGAATTTTTGAGTAATTTGTGCGAAATGTATGGTCTGGTTATTTAATTTTGAAAAGAATAATGGCAAAGAATTTCGTGTGATATATCATTGTTGGCGAAGAGAGAATTATCGAAGATGACAGCGGTGCTTTCTATTCGCAGGTGACGTGGTTGCTGCACGGCAAAGACTCCTTTCGTCTGCTGACAGTCGGCAAAACGCCGTACAGCAACGACCAAAGAATCAGTCTTAAATTTCGGTGAGTCTTAATCAATTTTCTCCATTTATCTATTTCTCTATTTTTCTATTTATCGTTCAGACGAGGCTAATCTTTTCATCGCATATTCTTATCGGAATACGAACGTGGAATTGCAGCGCGCGACCGCAATGATGAGTGAAATTCAGTGGCGAAATTGTCGACGGTATTATCATAATTCGTTATCATTCGTGGCAGACCAGGCAGCGAACCGCGTAATCTCGTCGTCAGCGTCGAATTATCGTTGCGGTCGATTTTTACTATCGTCGAATGAGCGCGACGATGCCATTCACGAGAGTGGAAAAACTTCGCCTCTATCTTCCCTTGCTCGAATCAAATCAGCCGTTTTATGCGCTTTTTTTTTATTTTGAAAATCCAAATCAGGCTCGTTTCGCGTCGGAGCGCAATGAATAGCACATTATGTATTAGGAATCTTTATTAGGAAATAAAATTTTCCCTCATTTACATCCTTCTCGGTCGTAAATCGCGAGTGAATCAGTAGCATCAGGAAATGCATTTCTTTCGGTGACTTAACGATAAGTTCGACCATTTTCTACGTATGTTCTTTCTTGTCTGATCATGCAGATATCCCAGCAATTGGAGACTACAGATTCTATACGCGAATCCGCGCGATTCGGGATTGTATCAGTGCCAAGTCGCCACGCATCCGCCGCTGGTTAAGAAAATCAACGTCGTCATTACGGGTAAGTGAATCTTAGCCACATTGTAGTTGGAATCTCATTTTCGAAATGCAGTAATGCTTTTTTTTCGAAAACGAATAAGTATTCTGTGTAATAGTTTGTGTTCATTGACGAAACTTTTTAAAGGATATAATTTCTAGAACTTTTATGTTAGAAAAAGAGAGACCGAGTGAATTGTAGATATTTTTACTCGGAATTCTATTTTCTTTATTTCTAATTTTTTAATAAGAAATGACTTAAATTTTTTTATTAAATTGATTTTATATTTTATAAATGTCCAAAACATTGAGATTTGATAAGCGTATTGAGATTTCTTAAATTCAACAAGATGGAAATTTATGAATAAATGTTTGATACACAAGTTCCTATATCGTTCCATAAAACTTAGAGTTAATATTTTATTTATAGCTATTTTATATAGATTTATGTGCAATAAATTCAATAGTTTCGCACTATATTTGCTGCTAATAATTCACGGTTAAAAATCTCTTTAATAAGGACGCGATTGTTTGCAAAGGTCAAGGGGAGTGTAAATATACGCATTACAGCTTCCATTTCACTACTGGCTATTACGCGTTGGTATAACAACTTGAAATATTAATCGCTTCATTTACGGCATACAGTTCAATTTTGCAAGGACTTAATTAATTCGGGGAGAATTCGCGCTAGAACGCGCGCGTGTAAAACGTTTCGCGTGTGAGTGAACTAAAAAATCCGCAAAGGGAACGAATTGAAGGATCGTTTCCTTGCATCTCTATTCGCGGATCCTCTCGCGAGAGAATTCTATTCGTAAACGAAATCGTACCGGGCCAAAGCAAAACGAGGATGGTCAGACTGGACCGTGCGTTAAACCAAGAAAAGAACTCGGGGATGGGATGAGCGCCAGGCGGAGGGGAGGATGGGAAGGGGCGAAAATCGGTATTGCAGCACTCGTCGTTACCCCCAATCCCCTTACGTCGCCGATTTCGGTGCAATGGAAACCCGCATTTCTCGTGGTAAAGCGCCTCGGCGTGGCTGGTAATCTGATCCAATCCGGAGCGGGATCGGCAGGCAGGGGTGAACAAAAGCCGCCCCCTTAGAACGAAGTAGGGCAGAACAAACCTGGACAGAGCGACATCGTTACAAACCCTTCTCCCCCCCCCCCATCCCCCTTCCTCAACCCCGCTTAAACCCAAACCCTCTTTCTTACATCTACCATCGCGGTCGTAGTTTGCGATCCTGCGGTGCCGATGTTTCTTCGGCTATCGGCCTCGTCCTCTCCGCTGATGAGCGATCATCAGAATCGATCCGACCGACAATACGCTATTCCGAAGACAAAGTTACAGCAACGATTGCAACGAAATATGACCCACGGAATGACAGTTCCAAAAGGCACAGGGAGAAGGTCGTAAAAACTTCATGAAAAAATATTGCTTCCGCGGATTAAGCTGAATCGCCCGCATCAATTGCGCTTGATGGGAAATCGTTCGTATTTCATCGTTCTATGATGGATCTTCGTTTTCGCGTTGATTTCAGAGCCAAGTACACCAAGAAGCGATGGGCGGTTCACATTTATAAGCTGTGGAGAAAATGACTTGATTTTTCACTGAAAAAAAAAAAAAACATGTTTGGACGGAATTCTGTCTTATAATTTCACAATGTGCAATATATTATATTGCGCACTTTTATTCGCTTCATTTCTCAATGTTCTATACTTTTTATAATTCGTGACGCACTTGTATTTAATTAGCTGAAATTCTCTTTGATTGTTAATTACTTGCAATTTATTGTGAAACTTCAAAAGAAGAACGACATATCGATGTTAAACCAACAGCCACCACTTTTCTTTGTCAGAATATCAAGATAAAATATGACAACAAATTTAAATCATTCTGTACACCACTCTTTTGTCTTATAAAATATTTCCGCAAACCTTCCCGTATTATTCGACGGATATGCACCCGCACATGGTTATTATTTATTTCGTTAAAAAGGGTCGCCACGTATTTCACGTGTTTTATCTCTCTCTCTCTCTCTTTTTTTTTTCATCGCATGAGTTGTACATACAAATCGGACACACATTATAGCATTGCCGCGAAATGCAAAACAAAAGAATAATAAAATAAATTAAACGAACGGAACAAAAAGACGTACGAGATTCACGTGTCGCGCAATCTGGCCGCGTTGCAACTGCAACGGGGTCGGAGAGCAACGAGCGGAATGAACTTTCGGAAATTCGAATACGTCCGTTTCATTATGTGCCGCAACGCGATTCCGGTACAACCATGTTTCCGTTCCGTGTGTGGGGATGAAATTACTTTCCCTCACGACTCCCTTCGCGCGGACTCCCTTTTCGTCCTTTTACTAAAATACACTGAAACTCGTTGATGTTCCCGACCGTTCCCTTCGATCTTTCCGCACGAGAGTCATCTCGTGTAACGAGTTCAGTATCGAAGAATAGTTCATACAGGCCTTAATCCATTATATCGCAAAATTAAGCACGGAACTACCAAGGAAAAGTCAATTGTTGTAGGACTTCTTGGAAGAAAGGGGTATTTTTAGCTGGCACAAAAATTCATACAAGACTATCGAGATGCATGGACAAAATATGTTTTGAGAAATTGCTCACATAATTTGCACATAATATTTCAGGAAAATAGTAACATTTCTGAGCTTTTGATATTCTCGTTAGCATACAAGCTTCATGCTTTCAAGAACAGAATGAACGAGAAATACGCGTTTTATCGTTAAGAACGGAGCTTTAATCTATTATATTCCAAAATTAAATAAAGGACTACCATGAAGTAGAGAATAGTCGAAGAAATTCGTGAGAGAGAGGAATATTCCCAACCAGCATGCGCATTATGGACATAACGAGTTAAGTTACGTCGTTTAAAACTACTAAATACTAAACGTTCAAATACCAAATTTGTATCAAAAATATGCTGATAAAAATATTAATATTATCGTACAATTACAGTGTGATTTTACTCAAAAGGCAGTGTTTTCTTATTTCTTTTATTTTTGTAACGAATTGTGTTAGATCAATTAGTCAGCATCTGTCCACGGATTGTCCGGATTTTTATTTATCATAAGATAATGACAAAAGTGGAAAATTTGTTTTTTAATGCTTGTTAGTTGAGTGAAAAAGTAAAGTCAAAAGAGAAATCCTGTGATATCTTCACTTTATGCAGCGTAAATCAGCTTTTACGGGAGTGGGTTCTCGTGCGGCAATGCGATCTGTTTTTACAGCTGGTTAAATAAGCTACGACGAGTACGAGGTCCTGCGACGCGCGAAATGACTCTTATTAAGGAGACGCAAACAATGGCGAATAAAGTAGACCGTCATATTTCTCCCGCGCTTATTTATCGCGTTCATAAAGAAATCAGAAGATTGCATAATCAACAAGCGGAAGATATCGCACAAACAAACGTACAAAACATGGATAATAAAGATATGTCGATCTCAATTAAGTTCATATAACAGAACAATGAAAATATTTTCGGATATCTATGGAATGCTGATTCATCTTTTTGGAGCCTATATTTGTTAGACTCAATTATCTTTTAAATAATCTCTCGATAATCTTTTATCGGTACGTTGAAGGAAGGAATCGGGACGGAGAATCGCGGAGGAAAGGAGAATTCATCTCGCGATCGTTTGAACGAGAACGAAATTTAATCGAGATATAGCGAGAATGGTTGGTGAAGCACTCGCGGAACGATTGCTCCGCGTCGGGCTGCATTTTAATACGAATCGTGTTTGAACGGTTAATTTCAAAGAGAACGAAGATGTCGCGAACGAGAAACGATCAGGAGAGGCAATCATCGGAGCGTGGCGCAAAAATGACAACTTCCGCTTCGTTGAAAGCCATTGGTTTCAGCGATGGAATATTTATCTGTTCTCGTATCGCACGGCATCGAATTTGACTAAATCCGGCTTGAAAATCTACGTTTCTTTATATTGAATGATTTCATTAAATTAAGCACACTATAATCTACTATAATTTATATTTATAATATTTTATTGGAGTTCACGCTTTTATGTGAACATTTTAATTATTGCGTAGTTATAAAATTTATTACTACCGAAAATTCAAAGATTTGGTAAAATGAATATTATAAATAAATATATTCAAATTTAGCTTTTGAATAAATTCACAGGGGCCAATTTTATTTAAATTGCCATTGAAATTAAAAAAGAAAGGATTTAATAATATAATTTTTACTTTGCAACAGAAAATTTTTTTTTCTCTAATTTATTAAAGAACATAATCTTCAAGATTCATATAGATTTCATGAAATATTATGTACATTGACGGATAGTCGATGTAATTTAAAAATAAAGTAACAAAAACGTGTTTGCCAAATCCTGTGCTTTATGAAATTACATAGTTGACATAGCTGGAACGTTTCTGAAATAAACGATCGCGAAAAGATAGATACATCATGTTGGGTATCCATCGATCATCGATATGATTAATATTAAAGTTGAACCCGGTATTCATATGGCTCTACTTGTTACGTCATAAAACCCGCGATAACATTTATAACACATGTCTTTGTTTCAAATAATTTATGAAGTCATTTGTTAAAAATAATTTATTGTTGCGACAAAACCTTTTTTTTGAAAGGATATTCTACTTTCTTCACGAATTATACGACACTGTATGGTAAGCACATGTCGCTTATTCATTTTTATTCTGAAAGCTATTTTTTTTTAATTAATCTTTTTTACATTAAAGTTTATTTGTATGCAATTTTTTCTGATTTGTTGATTTTTTTAATTAATCAAATGTGATATCAGTGCAATTAAATATCGCAAGAAATATGAAACAATACAAGCAATCCTGTTAAAAGCGCATTACTCTAAGATTTCCCTTATTCATTGTATCTGTAGTTAATCTATAAGCATACATTTGTCACAGGATGCATCGATGACACGCACTTTGCATCACTAATGTGGATGAATATTCATATTGCATAAATATCGATTTTAATTTAATTAAAAGATTGTTTTTAAT